TCAGGCCTGCTGCCACCTCCTTTTCCTGGCTGTACTTTAGCCACCGGGCCATAAACCCCTCTGCCTCCTGCCTGGCTTGGCAGAGCCGCGTAGCTACCCGCTGCAGGCAGCCACGTGGTTCCCGCGCACCACAGCTCTGACGGGAGCGTGGGCTGCCGTCCAAAGGACATTGCCTTTGCCCACTGTTAGGGTGTAAGCGCAGCTCCCTGCTGCCACCTCCTTTTCCTGGCTGTACTTTAGCCACCGGGCCATAAACCCCTCTGCCTCCTGCCTGGCTTGGCAGAGCCGCGTAGCTACCCGCTGCAGGCAGCCACGTGGTTCCCGCGCACCACAGCTCTGACGGGAGCGTGGGCTGCCGTCCAAAGGACATTGCCTTTGCCCACTGTTAGGGTGTAAGCGCAGCTCTAGCATCCGCAAGCCCGCGTGATCCTCTCACCGCGAGGGCTGGCTGGTCACTGGCTGTCCTAGAGCCTGGCCCGATAGAGACGTGCATAGAGAGACAGGAAAGCTCCTCGGTATGTAGGCGGCGCCTGACGGCAGCTGGCTGAGGATGCATGTGCAAGTGGTTCCCGGACCTCTCCTGGGCCATGCGACTCTCACACATCAAGCCCTCAGCAGGGAGATAAATATTAATGTTCAGCTCAGGGAAGAGGCAGGCTAGTAGCAAGGGGCCATGCCGGTGAGGAGCAAGGGCGGCTAGCAATGTAGGCAAAAGAAGGCACATGCGCAGCTGCCGAGGAGGGGTGGGACTGGGGCTGCAGCAGGGCAACCTCGGCCCTCCAGGTGGCCAGGAAGATCAGGTTGATGGTGGGAGGGGCTTGGCTCAAGGGGCGGGGTTTTGGGTGCAAGGGGAGGGGCTGAGGCTTGCCTTCCCCAGCCGCCCATGGTGAGGACTCTGGTGCCTTGGCAGAGCTGGGGATGGGGCCAGGACTGGAACAACAGGCATGCACCTGCAGAACTGTGGAGACAAGAGTCCAGGCTGGATTCTCCCACCTAGCTCTCCCCAAGTATGTCGCCTCCCAGCACCTGTGCATGGACTACACTAGCAGGTTGGAGCTAGTGCACAAAAATCAGCAGGGTAGATGTTGCAGGGCAAGCTCTCAAGCCCACCCAACCTCTGGGTCTGAGTTTCGGAGGCTAGCCTGAGTCTCTGCTGGAGCCACAACATCCCAACTTCTCTTTTTAGCATGCTAGTCTGAGTCTATCTCCCTGGGTTGGGAATAGCATCCCCTGTAAGCTGAGTGCATGGGCAGCCACCCAGGAGGGAATCAAATGCTGCACAGCTGATTAGCAGAGCACCCACAGCTACCAGCACATGTTTCAATGGGTGGTGCACATGCCTCAGTGCACATAACAAAATTTATTCCACACAGTTAGAAAAATAGTTTACAGGGAGCATTGATTGGGAGGCGGGCTCCCAGCTGGGGTGTAGAAGTCAATCGCCAGAATGATGCAAAGCGGGTAGGACATACCACAAAACCTCAGACGCTATTTGGAAAGTGCTCTGAGACGGATCATGCGAGATAAAAGAAGGTAATGAAACGTATGTTGTCATTTTGGTGTCTAAAAAGCAAGCTCAATGCACTTGGCAAATAAGACACAGGCTTGGGAAAGCCGGACAATTTGTGAAGCAACTGCTGAGTGTTTGCAGAGTGATTCAGGCATTGGGAAAAGCAGCTATTGTGTTTTCTAATCAGTCATCTGTCTTGGTGTGTGTTCACTTTTGTTTTCTGCCTAGTGGTGATTAAATCAACAGATCTTACTTACAGCTGCTGGTTCTAGGAGAGTGAGGAGGAGGGAGAATGAAACACACCTTGAGACCTGGGTGTTTTGCTCGGCTGGGTGTTACGTGAGAGCACGTAATGGTCCTTTGTGAATTTATGAAACGGGTTGTCCCAGACGGAGGAACTAGATTAATGGGCTGTCACAGGATATTAGGTTAACAGGGAAGCACTGGATTCAGGCAAGGAATGAAGTCAGTTTCTAGCTTGTTTTCCTGGGTGTGGAAATGTAAAGCACCAGGCATTCAACAATAACACTGAGCTTCCATGAGACTTCCATGCAGGGATCTCAAAGCATGCAGGAGTATTCTCAGTTGCACGTAGGATTGCACGTGCTTTGGAGGATAGGGTCATCATTCAAAATGATCTGGACAAACCGGAGAAATGGTCTGAGGTAAACAGGATGAAGTTCAATAAGGACAAATGCAAAGTGCTCCACTGAGGAAGGAACCATCCGTTTCACATGTACAGAATGGGAAGCGACTGTCTAGGAAGGAGTACGGCAGAAACAGATCTAGGGGTCACAGTGGACCACCAGCTACATAGGACTCAGCCCTGTGACACCGTGGCAAAAAAAGCAAACATGAATCTGGGAGGCATTAACTGGAGTGTTGTGAGCAAGACAGGAGAAGTCATTCTGCCGCTCTACTCTGCGCTGATTAGGTCTCAGTTGGAGTATTGTGTCCAGTTCTGGGCACCACCTTTCAAGAAAGATGTGGAAAAATTGGAGAGGGTCCAAAAAGAGCAATAAAAATGATTAAAGGTCTAGAAAACATGACCAGTGAGGGAAGACTGAAGGAATTGGGCTTATTTAGTTTGGAAAAGAGACGACAGAGAGGGGACACGATAGCGATTTTCAAATATCTAAAAGGGTGTTACAAGGAGAAGAGAGAAAAATTGTTCTTCTTAACCTCTGAGGACAGGACAGGAAGCAATGGGCTTAAATTGCAGCAAGGGAGGTTTAGGTTGGACATTAGGAAAAACTTCCTGTCAGGGTGGTTAAACACCAGAATAAATTGCCTAGGGAGGCTGTGGAATCTCCATCATTGGAGATATTTAAGAGCAGGTTAGACAGACATCTACCAGGGATGGTCTAGATCAGGGGTGGGCAAATACAGACCGGCAGGCCAGATCGGTTCAGCTAGGGTTAGCCCCTGTAGTGCAGTGTTTACCTGCCCAGGTACAAATCGCTGATTCCAGCCAATGGGATCTGCGATCGCCCAGACCTAGAAGGTACAGGAAAATAGAGCGGCCACTGCCCTTTCAATTGCCCAGCCCTGATCTAGATGGTGCTTGGTCCTGCCGTGAATGCAGGGGACTGGACTTGGTGATCTCTTGAGGTGCCACCCAGTTCTAGTGTTCTATGATTCTCAGCATCCCTATAGGTCCGTCCACCCTAGCGTTCTTGCCATGAGTTAATCGGCTGCCAGTGATATGCAGGTAGCTTACAGCCCTCAACAAGAGGCCTCTGAGGCCTCTCACTGCATCGCCTCCTCGATGTCCGGCCATGGGACTCACCTACTGCCTTGCTTTTGCTTTGCAGAATCTCCGCGTTCGCACCACGGGAGGGACGGAATTTTTCACCCGTTCGGCCACGAAGTTCAAAGGTGCCTTAGCCCAGAAGTTCATGTTTGTGGATGGTGACCGGGCGATGTGCGGCTCCTACAGGTAATCCAGAGACAGCTCTCTCGGCTGTTTCCACCCCTAAAAAGCGCTCCGGAGTGGGTTGGCCTCCGCTGGGCCACAGAGGCCCCGTGTGGGCTGGCATGTTATTTTGAAGAGGGTGTGAATTTTGATCCTCATGACACTGCAAAGTCCAAGCAATGGGTAGAACCAGGCATCATGCACTTGGGGGCATCTGCTGAGCTCTGCTCCTGCACCCCAATCCTGGCCTGCACCCCCCCTCCCGATACACAGTCATCCCAAGCCTTTACCCCGGTAACTCCAACCCAGACTTGCCTTGAGGTAAGTCTGCTGCTTCTGCTAAATTAGGCGGCAGGTGCGTGAGGGTTTGTTTTTAAGGCCCTTCTCCAGCCGCTCAGACCAGACTAGAACCGGTGTCTGAGGAAGGGATTCGACACAGAGCCCGGCACTTTAGCTCCTGCTGCTCACAGCGCCGGGGCCAAGTTATTCAGCCACAAGAGCAAGCCAGGGTGCAGGGGGTGACCCTTCCATTAGCTGCCAGGCACTCAGACCCTTTCTGTTGGGTTTCCATTCCAGTTTCACCTGGTCCGCAGCCAGGACCGACAGGAACATCATCTCGGTCCTCTCCGGCCAGGTGGTGGAAGCGTTCGACAAGCAATTCCAGGAGCTGTACCTCATGTCCCGGGGGCTGAGCCTCAAGTCCATTCCCATGGACGAGGAGCCGGAACCGGAGCCGCTGTCTCTGCTGTCCGTCGCCCCCGTCGCGCCAGCCAACGCCGTGGTGAAGAAGCTGATTAACCCCAAATATGCCCTGGTGAAGGCCAAGAGCGCAGAACTGATCAGCAAGATGTCGGCCGAGAGGCAGGCAGGCGCCGGCAGGAAGGAGCAGATGGACAGCAAAGGCAAGGCCTTGCCTGAGGGCCAAGGTGCCAAGCGGTCGAACGACATGGCCGACCAAGCTCCATCCATCCACCCCGCGCTCCTCCACATGGAGAAAGCCAACATGTTCGACTACCTGCCCACTTGGGTGGAGCCAGACCCAGACCCCAGCGAAATCTTGGGCTACATCAACATCGTCGACCCCAATATAAAGGACCTGAAACTCTCCCAACTGAGCCGCATCAAGGTCTGCGACATCTCCCAGGCCAACCTCCAGCACCGGCAGATGCTAAAGAACAAGGAGCTGGAAGCCAAGAGAAGCCAAGAGGCGTCTGGGCCCAGCCAAGAGCCAAGAGACGCCTCTCCCGCCCCAGGTAAGGAAGCCCTCACCCCTGTAGAAAGCCCCAAAGCAGAGAGTCCGGAGAATGAAAAGATTGGCGCTGTCGCTGTCCTGTCCGTGAGCCAGCACCCGAGGCAGCCTTCAGCCACAGAGACGCACAGGATGGACGTCAGGCCTCCCGTGCCAAGGCCGAGGACGGTTGACGTCACAGACTTTATCTCCAAACACAGCGCGCTCTGCCGCGGCTTCAGCCACAGAGACGCACAGGATGGACGTCAGGCCTCCCGTGCCAAGGCCGAGGACGGTTGACGTCACAGACTTTATCTCCAAACACAGCGCGCTCTGCCGCGGTGGAGCTGCCCAGCTAGGGGAGGCCAAGCAGCAGCCGCACCGGGG